ACTTGTAAAACACGTGAACTTGCGTGCTTACATCCTATAGGGCCTAACCTTACTTTAAGACAGTTAATCGTTCCCCCCCCCTCCCTACCCCCCCCCCCTTCAACACTAATGATGATTGAAATGCCGGAACAAATGGAATGCTCCACATTTTTCTAAAATTTCCTTAGAATGCAGGGGGGGGGAGGTGGGGTTCCGGGGCTCGGGGGCCGGACAGGTGTCACATGAAAATTCGACTCCTATGAAAATCGGACCCTTTTCCCCTATTATTGGTTAATCCCTCGCACGTGACAGGTCATACTCTCCCGAAACGATCCTAAAAATAGCATAGTATCGTGCTCACCGCGTGCGCATTACTACCAATGAGTCATTTCATGGAGTTGGATATTCACGCTACACCGGCGTGCCTTACCTCCCCCCCCCCTCCCCCCCCCGCCTTTTCACATCAACACAACACAACACTCTCACCAGGTTTCCTGACAACGTAGAATCCGCCCCTGCCATTTGTTTTGCCATTGTTTTATTATCAATTCTTAGGTTTTCTTTAAGGAAGAAAGTCAGATTTGACAGTCACAGTGTGCAATCGCACAGTTATTATACACTTTTATTGTATCGTGTACCAGAAAGTGCAAGCTCAGTTGCAAAACATGACTTGATTTTAGTTTAGTTTAAGTAGTCTATGGATCATGAATTTTCAGCAAACCTGAAGGCTGGTTATAGCTTTCCTGTCACCGGCTTTTATCATAAAAGTACGCTTGTGGAATGATATGAAAATAATAACAATCTCTTTAAAAGCACGCTTGACTTTCATGTAAAATTATAATCCCTTTCAAAACCGAACCCCACGCCTATAGCTCAGAATACCGATAGCTGATTCAATGACTCCAACCTCGAAAACGATGTTCAAATAATTATCTTTTGCTAAGAAAATATTAGTTAAAGGATGGAGGAAAGTGGTAAGAAATTGCTTCAGATCACACCACAGAACATCTAGAATCCAATTTTTTCGGGGCCCCTAAGCGGGCCCCGAACCCCCACGCCGTAAGGGCTTCGCGCTTCGCGCTCGCATCAGTTCTGATCAAGGTATGTCCCCCCCCCCCCCCACTTTTGAGAAGCGATTGACGCCCCTACATGACGCCCCCCCCCCCCATGAAATGTTCAATATTAATATTAATATGAAATGTGATACTGCATATTGTTTCGTTAAGATTGTAACAGTTTCAAAGTTAATTGAATAAAAATCGTGTTTTCGTAACTCACGCCATGCTCGCGCTGATACGAATTGACTCTGTTTTTACCCCAGACACCGCATACAAAAACAAACGCTAATGTAACGCACATGCAGGCACCAGACTATTCCTCATTTGCATACGTGTTCAAAATCTTGCACATGCAAATGATCCAATACCAGGGTGAGAGAGCAGCAGGTAGTGATGGGCGCGTACTGCTCGATACCCTGGGTACGAGGTTGCATCACCCTTAACCAGCGCCCTGTTTGCAGGGCGGGGGGGTACGAGCGAAAAAAATGTGTCCACATGGTCCGCAATGAAAAAGAATCACATCCGTATGGTGTGTATGCATTTCTCTTTCTATGACAAACTTTTCGGATAGTATTTGCGCGCATTGGCCAACCGCGGTCTACAGCTGCAGCCAGATGCTTTATACATAGGTCATGATAAATGACCCAGAATGCCATCCAAACTTCCTTCACAAGATTCTGTGAAGCTTATCTGCCCTTCCCAGCGCCCGTTTGCAGGGCGGGGGTACGAGCGAACGCCGCTCATGCTATGCGCCCCAACGCCCCTGCCACTTAGTGCCAGTAATCAAAGGAGGAAGGGTAATTTATCAGTGAGCAGAATTAAAGCTGAAAGTAGACCCAGGAACCCCAGGGGATGCTATATTATAGAAGTCCCTTTTTTCGAATTTGACTTGGGTCGGTAGTACGCCCAAAGTCAAAATACGAAAGAAGCCGGGGAGTTCTGGGCCCCAGTTACTGGGTCTAGCAGAAAGGTAAATTCCGGTAAAGGCAGAAAAGCAGAATCTTCTTCCGGACAACAGGGGCCGTATCATAAGTCCGACGCCTCATAGGCCCTACCGACGCCCATCATAAGTCCGAAATTTCGGACTTATGAGGCGTCGGACCTATGAGGCATAAATCTATTTATTCCGCCTCATAGGTCCGACGCCTCATAGGTCCGACGCCTCCATAGGTCCGACGCCTCATAGGTCCGACGCCTCATAAGTCCGACATATTAAACGCCTCGTTCTTCCGTTGTCGGACTTATGAGGCGTCGGACTTATGAGGCGTCGGACCTTTGAGGCGTCGGACTTATGGCCTTTATTTGGTTAGGGATTGCGATTTTGTCGGACTTAGGCGTCGGACCTATGAGGCGTCGGACCTATGAGCGGACCCCGAAAATCAGATGGCCATATACATGTATGTACACCATCATTGACTTAGAATGCCGTAGGCGAGAGTGGCAACAGAAGTATTTATTAAGGAAATGGCATGGGGCGAGTAGGAAGAGTACATGTAGGAGGCCTTCACAATGGTGTAACTGCATGG